TGGTTTTTTTGAGACCCATCTCACTACTACCTCAGCCTTCTCAGTGCTGGGATTACAGGTGTGTGCCACCATGCCTGGCCGTAAGAAATCCCTACTAGACACACAGTAGTGGAGCTGCATAATATTGGGGACTTGGAGAGAATGAGCAGTTAAAATGGGAATGGCAGAGAGATGGCTTATTTATTTTATTTATTTATTTTTATTGAGATAAATATGAATAAGTATGAATGAGACAGTTTCATAGTTTATTAATAGGACAGTTTCAATAATACAATGTACATTGTTATCTTCTTAGTGGTTATCCATAGCACAAGAAGCAGCCAGGATATTCTGTCCAGACACTATTGGTACCCCTCTTTCTACTCATTGAATTAAGCGAAAGTAGCTGTATATCTATCCTATTTTGTATATATACATACAAAATGATCTTTCCTTTGTATCCCTTTTTTTTGTTTTTTGTTTTTGTCCTGCCAGAGGTGGATATTCTGTTGGAATCTAAATACTGTAGGTGTTTGAATTCAGCAAAACAGTCCAACACTGTCTAGCAGTCTATAATATTAGTGGATTATCCTCAGAAGTTACTGACTTGGGGCTGGAGAGATGGCTCAGTGGTCTAAAGCACCTACTTGAAACAAGCTTGGCAAAACACAGGGACCGCGGTTCGATCCCCAGCACCACATGCCAGCCAGACCCACCCCCTGGTGGGCTGAGCTGGCCACACACACACACAATAAATAAATGTAATAAATAAAAATAAATAAATTTAAAAAAAAAAAAAAAAGAAGTTACTGACTTGAGTCTTTTACAGCTCATCTTATTAATATGGCTTTACTTTATATACCTCGTTTTTATACTTTTCTGCTGGATGGTTAAGACCAAGATAAAGCAAGACCTATATAACAAGAAATGTAACTTTGGTATCTGACAAGGCCAGCCAAGTACCCTCAGGATTCATCCTGTAGCCCTGTACTGCACTTTGTAGATCCTTTGTCAGTGTCAGCCATGAGGATGAGTCATGGCCATTGCTTGACCAGTGTGTTCTCTGTGAAAGCCTGAGAGAATGTTTTTTCTCTCCATGTGACTCTCCCCAGGCACACTATACATCATTAATCACATTCCTCTTGTGGCTCCGTAATCTTCTTGATCAGAAAATTTGGAGCACAACTGAGTTACATGTTGTTATAGTACAAGTTCTCTTCTGTCCCAAATCTTCACTGACCTTGAAAGGCTAGGGCCAAAATGTTGGCTGACCTTGCAGCTCTTCCTTTTCTCCAATTTTGATCTGCTAACTTAGGTTGTTAACCTTCCAGAAGAGAAGCTAATTATTAATCTGCAATATATGCAGTTCGGTTTACTCTATCTGTCTAAATATCAAACATCTTTGGCATATCATGGAACAGGTTTTTTCCATCAAATATTGATATGTTGAACTTAAAGTCCTTACAGAATACGAAGGAAAAATAATTTTATAAAAGTAGAAATAAGCATTTACATATTTTTACAAAGAAATTTAGAAATCTAACCATTACAGAATTGTAACAGGACAGACCTGTGACATTTTTTTTTCTTATTCTTGTCTTTTTTTTTCATTTATTACACTTTAAAAAAACAACAACAACAACTTTATTTGAGAGACATTATGGTAATAAATAGTATGTCATGACAAGAAGTACATATTTAGAAGACCAGGATGGCAGGCACTCCAAGCGTGACCCCTCTATTACACATCGCCAGAAATGGCTTATTTTTTAGTAGTAAAAGTAGTTCTGGGGAGTTAGCTCAGCGGCATATGCGCCTGCCTGGCAAGCGCAGGGACCTGGTTCGATCCCCGGAACTGCATACTGTGTGCCGTGCTGGTCTCAGAACTGGGTATGGTGGCATGCCAGCACTAGGAAGGCTGAGACAGGAGGATCACTGAGTCCGAGCTCCATAGTGAGTCCTTGTATCAAAAAATGAATAAACCTGTAGAAGGCAGAGATAATGTATCAGAAGTGATGAGTAGTCTTCAGTAGTTAGGAAAATGATTACTCAAAAATTAATGCAAGAAAAGATATTTCCAGTTGATTCCAGCTTACTCAGAAGTTGCAGGATAATGGCTGTCATCAAGAATTGAAATAGTATCCAGTGCTGGTGAGGCTGCAGCACTGCTGATGGGAGTGCAGGCCACTGCAAATGGTGTGGGATTTCCTCGAAACCCTAAATGCCAAGTGACATTTGACCCAGCCATTTCCCATCTAGTTAGCTTCCTAAGCGTCAGTGGCATCGCGTCACAGTGACCCGTGCCACACCATGTTGAGAGCAGCAGAGTGCATCCCAGTGGAATCTCAGAAGTCGCCTAGGATGTCCTTCAGCAGATGAATAGATAAAATGTGGCACATGTACATGGTGCAGCACTGCCCTGCCGTGAAGGAAGATAAACCTGGCTCTCCTGAGGAAAGTAGATGCACCGGGAGGCCCTACAGGAAGTGAAGTAGTCACCGTGCCCCTGGTGGTTTAGCCACGTGAGTACAAGATTCAGAAACGCTTTCTCTGCGTCTTCGTAGGTGACGGGAAAGGCGGGACACGAGCGCCTGTGCAGGGTGAGAGGCCGGGCACGGGGGCAGATGCTGGGCGTCCAGGGTGCCTGGGGTGTTGCGCGTGGCTGCGAACGCACGGAAAACCGTGACGTTGGGGTTTGGCCTGTAGGGTAAGTTGTCTCAGCTGACAAATGGAAGAGAAATCTGAAATCTGGCATTTGTACTGGAGTCGCATTCCCAGTAAGTTGAACAGTCAAGAGCAGTGTGCTAACTGAAGGTTATTGTTAATGGACTGATTCCCAGTATTCGTGTAAATGAGTTTTGGAAAATTTTTATCTTTGGAAACTTTCTGAAAACATTTTCCCAAGGGTTGATGGAAAGCTTGCTTACACTGTTACTGTATCTTTATCTGAGGGCTGTAGTGAAGCAGAGAGCTAGTTAAAATTCTTAAGACACATCTTCTTAGCTGGGGCCAAAATCTGAAACAACACAGTTGAAGTTATTACATGAAACCAGTTTGCATTTGGACTGCTGCTTGAGTTTTATTAAAGCATCCAGACAGTTTTGTAGTTCATATGTGAGTTATGAGCGTAAGATAACTGCAGGACCTTTTCTCCTAGAGACTTGAAGAAAAGTAGATTTGTGGGAAATAGGAATGGTTTGAAGTTAGAACTTGTGCTGTATTGTTACTTCTCATTTTAATAGAAATAAAAGTTCATATTAGGAGATATTTGATAAATTTCTATGGAGAAGGCTTAGAAACTGAGATTGAATACTGGTTTTTGATCCCTGTCTATCAGAGTCGTAGGCAGGTTTCTTGGCTGACTGTCCTGAATAGAAATGATTACATATTCGGAGTTACAAAATTGAAACCATTTTGTATTCAACTAATGAAATCACTCTGTAGCCAGTAAACTGTTAGTTTGCAAATTATGACTTTGTGTATAAAGTACAACATTTAGTGAAGCTAAATGGTTTGGGCTTGGGAATATAGTATTTCTCATCAAGGTTATTTTGGCTTAATGGGCTTTGACAGTCTCTGAAATTCATTTAATTTGTAGTGTCTTCAGTATAACTTATTAAAACCAACTATAAAATGTTCAGAAATCTGGTCTAATGATCTAATTTAAAATAAGGTTTTATTTCTTCATTCTTTGTGGCCAGATAAGCTAAAAAGTGATTTGCTTACTTTTGTTCCACATAGATTAAAGTCAGAACAATTGTGAGATTTAATTATATGATTCCTGGCTGGCACGGGAATTACAAATGCTCTCTTTCGTGGTGCTGGATTAAGTCCGGGCAGGGCCTCGCGTGTGTGCGGCAGGCACTCTGCCAGTGAGCTGCACACCCAGCCCTTTGCAAATTTCGGACAGCGTCTTCCTGAGGTGCTCAGGCTGGCCTTTAAATCTGTGATGTTTTTGCCTTGGCCTCCCTAGTAGCTGGACTAGATTCTCAGAATACCTACAAAAAAATACAATTAAAATTCTTGGTAGAAAAGGTAAATTCTCAGTAGTTATCGCTACTGTGTACCTAAATCATCGTTATTTTCCCGCCCACCCTCGGCTGCCCAATTTCCATGCCTTTTAGTGTGTGCTTTAGGGGCCTTTTCTCATCCCTAAACCCAGGGAACGAACACTGCCCGTGAATCCTGAATAAGGCAGAATGCGGTGCGTGAGATCTTACGTCCTTCGTGTGCAGAGGACACTCAGGAGAAATGTTGGAATGATTTGCACGAGTTTCTTTCTTTTCATGGCTACGTCTGTGGAAGCAGAACACAGTTCTTGAATGTTCAGCCTTTTCTGCTTCAGAAGTGCCACACCTGTTGCAGTCACTCAGAGATTTCTAGATGGTAGTACTGAAAGAGACGTTCATGTGCTGGAGGACTGGTGGTACTCAGTTAAAATAGCGCAGGGAAGCACTTCCTCTGGCGGAAACAGGCAAGATGTGTGCCCATCTGCGACAGAGTGCTAACCCAGGGAAAGCAGATCAGCTTGCGCCGTGTTCCACAGGAGGCATGGCGTCATTCGGGGCAGGCCCTGCGTGGAAAGCAGGCTGCAGTCATGGTCATACACATTTTTGGGGAGTAAAGTCATGGCCTTTCTGCCAACTCTGGCTCATCAGTTATTACTCCTGGACACGTGAGAGCCGCCTGGCAGGCTTGTCCGGTGATCCAGCACCGTCCTACGAGTTTCAGGGAGATGGCCGAGTGGAGCAGGACCTCAGCCCCCCTCGAGCCCCATGTTGTCTTCTGTCCTTCCACCCTCATCTTGTGACTTCTGAGGGGAGAGGGAGGGAACTGTGTGCTCTCTGAGCTAGGAAGTTGATGGAATCAAGAAGGTTTCTGGCTGGAGGTGGATGCTCAGGGGTGGAGCACGTGCCTAGTGTGTGCCTAGCTCTGGACTTGATTCTTGGCCCCACCAACAAAAGGAACAAATTCTTGGCCTCCATGAGAGAAAATTAATGTTTCTTTTCTTTCTCTTACAGATTGTCGTTCTACTCAGGCCACTCATCATTCTCCATGTACTGCATGGTCTTCCTGGCAGTAAGTACTTGTATCCTGACCGTGGGCACATGTGCTGTGGGTGTGACCGGCACACGGGACCGCGCCTGTGCGGTGGCCGGGCCCACGCGCCCGCGGAAGCCTCCCGCTGCACGGCTCCTCCTCGGTGCTCACCGTGGGCGGTTTTGTGGGGTACCCCCCTCCGGCCCAGCATGGGTGCCGCGGCCACTCAGCCCTGGCTGGTGTGAGGAGGGCTGAGCTTCAGTTACCGGAAGTGAGGGCAGCTGTTGCTGCTTCTGCTTGAGTGGAGTTTGCTTTCCTTTCGCTGCCGAGACCCTTCCTCGACTGCCTGCCCAGAAGCAGCGGTTCCCTGGGGCGGCGTCTGCGGCGTGCAGCCCAGTGGTCTCCGCCGGTGCGGCAGCGTGCACTGCCCGGCACGGGCACGGGCTGGTGGTGAGACCGGAGGGTCGGCTTCCTGTGCTCGCCGAGCTGCACATGGGCATGCCGTTATCGGTTAGCGTAGTGAACGGAAGGCCAGGCTTCAGCGCACGTTCAGGGGACCTTTGAATTGCCTTTTATTTAAATGTGCTTTATTTAAAAAATAAATACTTATACAATTATATACTTTACTGAATAGTGCATTATACAGGATCAGTGTATGATGATAGCAGCATAGGGTGGGCGCTCTACCCTAATGTCAGTGGTGACTTCTGTATCTTAATTTTCTTCATAAGTCGATTTTTATATAGTTGTATTCATGTACATTTGCAGATTTTTTTTTCCATTTATCACATTAAATGGCATGAGTATTTAAAGCTTAGATTTCAAAAATCCATGCTAGCATAGTATTAGCATGGGGCAGACCGATGGGAGTTAGCTGTTTCAGGGAAATTTTTAAATTAACTACCTAAGCTTGCTTTTATCTAGAAAACCAAATTCCCAAAGTGAAAACAGTGTAAAAATTGCAGATATTATATGAAGTTTAAATCCACGAAACTATTACCTTTGGCTTCTCCAACATTTCTGGAAACTGCAAGGCTTTTGTGTTACGTTCATCTAATTTTATGAGGAGGCGAAGGGCACAGATTCATAGCTCAGGGCTGCTTTTTAAAGACAGATGTTCCTGATGTGCCAGGGAGAAGGTTCAGGGTAGTTAATGGAAAAGGCTGTTTTGACTTCTCATGTTAAGTTTTTTACAGAAACTTAACTTTTTTTTTACGGAAACTTAACTTTTTTTTTTGGTTTGTTTTTTTGGACAGGGTCTCACTGTGCAGTTCAGGCTGGCCTTCAGCTCATTTTGTAGCCCAGGCTGGTCTAACTCACAAGGATCCTCCTGCCTGGGATTACGGTGTGCTCCACCAGGCCTGGCAGCATTCTTTCTAAAAGGAGCCTGTTTAGTTATATATGGCACCAGGGGAGAAGGGCAGGGTAGGTAATCCTGAGAGCCATCAGTCGCGGGGCGCGGTCTCCACAGCACAGTCTGAGCATACTGGCTGGCCTTGCCAGTGTGGACATGCTCCCGGGCCCCGCTCCTCAGTGTCCTCCTTCCTTGGCAGAGACCCAGGAGTCTGTGCTTGGTTCGTGCTGATGTTTACGCTTTATGCCATTTTTCCTTTTAACTCTAATAATCCCCATGAACAAAGAGGCAAGATGGGGAAGAAAGGCTTGGGAAGGGATGGGACAGGTCTGCGAGCTGGCGGCCACCTGACAGTCAGGAGCCGCTGCGTTCCTGGTTAGTTCATCAGAATGCCAGCCCAGGCTGTCTGAAGTTCAGGGGGTGCAGAGCTGGCAGGGAAAAGGTGACCGACAGAGAACTTTGATTAGCTGGTTTTTTCTCAGATGTACCGTTTTTCCTCTCTTACCATTTTCTATTCTTTCCTTCTCAAAACATCCGTTGCATCTGTGTATTCAAACAGAAACATGTTCTGAGCACTCTTATGAAACAGGAACTGCAAGTAGACAGGCTGGCCTGACGGTCGGGAGCCTGAGTGGCAGGCTGGCTCTGTGGATAGGCCAGGGCCCATGAAGAGAGAGCTTGGAAGTACACACAGGGAAAATGAGCTCAGTCATAATTTGCTAATGGATTATTGTGAGCCATTTAAATTTTTTATTTTTTTTTTTATATTTGGTACAGGGTCTCACTATGCAGCTCATACTTGTTGTGATCCTCCCGTTGTCAGCCTCCCCAGCGCTGGGATGACAGGCATGCACCACCATGCCCGGTCTCGGAGGCTGGCCTAGTGTGTCCAGGGCGGGCCCGCCTGGCATGTGGTGCAGGGGATTGAACCCCGAGGCATTTAAATCATAGCGAGAAAAAGTCTGTAAACAGCTTTGTTACAGACCAGGACCTTTCTGGAGAAGAGGAACTCTACTGTATCTCACTGGCTCTAGGCAGGGGAAATATTTACCTGATGAGGTCCTGGGCCCCAGCTTTGATTTCAAGCTTGAATACACAGATGTCTCCTTGCTTCCATATTTACACACAACATTAACCTCTCCTCCGAATTCCTTAGGCAGTGACTCATTTCCCTGGGCATCTTGGCATCATGGGCCAGTCCCTGATATGGGTGGACATTTAAATCCTCAAGAATTCCTGACACCCCCAAGTTAACCCAAGTTACAAATTGTCTTAAATCAAACACCCCAGCCATATTGCTCCTGCCCTGGCAGCAGCCCTGCCCTGCACATTCACAGTGCCAAGCAGTGACTGCCAGTGAGAGGCATCTGGGCTCAGCAGGGGAGGGGACACAGCTGCTTTAGACACAGCCAGTGTGCATACTGGGTGACACCCCTGAACGGTGAGCAGATGTCAAATGACATTTATGTGATCATTCAAGAACAGTGAGGTACAGGAGGAATGTACTAACATACTCTTCTGGTGCCCTCCCGTACCCTCTTCCCTGCCACAGGGCTCCTGAACCCTCCTCTCAGGGCTCCGCCGTGTTGAGGGTGCCACTCACCTCTCCAGACCTTTAGTGCGCACGTCTGCATTCACACCACTCCTCACGGCACCGACCCTGTTCCAGTACTCCTGGGTTTCATGAAGATGACCCCTAAGTTGTGCAGTACTACCTAGTACTGGGGAGGGAAGAGCTTAGTACCCACAGACCACAAGAATCCTGCCTAAGATAACAGATCAAAATAGAAATTTAGGAATTGTATGAGTCTTCAAGACAATAAGTTGAAGCCCAGAGAAGAGTAAACTGAGGCCTGCATTAGTTTGCTATCAAATGTAGGTGGGACAACCAATTTAGCTTGCTGGGCTTGGTCTTCAAAGCAGCCTCAAAGTCGCTTGACCAAGGTGTATTTCTTTGTGTCGAGTGTGCTATTACCTGGCTCAGGGATTAGCAATTTTTTCACCCAATAAAATGTCAGATAACCAACACTTCGGCTTTGTAAGTCATATATTCTTCATTTTTAAAATTAACTTTGTGTGGTCCTGGTGACTGAACTTAGGGCCTCGCACATACCAGGCAGGCCCTCTACCACTGAGCTACATCCAGCCCAAGAATAACGCTTCAAAAACATGGAAACCATTTTTAGCTTGCAAGCTGACCCTTTGCCATTTACGGGGGGTGGTGGGGAAAAACCCTTTGGTTAAGAGTAGGATATTTAGAAACTGAGACAGTACTTTTTGCAGTTGTGTTAGTGAGGACAGCCAAGAAGGAGCAAGGCGAAAGCAAACCAGCTTCAAGATCTGGTTTTAGCCGGTAGTTGTCTTTAATGGATGCCAAATGTTTGTCAGAATTTTTAACCCAAAATAGTTACATCCCATCTTAGTTTGAGGTGCTATAATTGGTCACTGCAGACGAGTGGCTTATAAGCAGAAGTGTAGGGCCTGGGAGATAGCTCAGCGGTCTAAGCACCTGCCTGGGGAGTGCAAGGACTTGCGCTCCATCCCTGGTACCACGTGCTGTGTGCCGGCCCCACGCTGTGCCAGTTACTGAAACCAGGCATGGTGGCACACGCCTGTAATCCCAGTGCTGGGGAGGCTGAGACAGGCGGGTCATTGAGAGTCTGAGCTGTGTAGAGAGACCCTGTACCAATAAATAAATCTTAAAAGTAAAAAACCCGAAGTATATCCTGCAGGCCTGGAGTCTGCACGTCCAAGCAGCGTGCAGCACACTCAGGTTCTGAGGGGCTCGAGGTGCCCTGGCTGCCTGCAGACCAGCTCTTGCCGCGCTCTCCCAGGCCCCTTGCAGGAGACCACGCCGCTGGCCACGCTGACCACAGCTGTGGCCCCTGGCCTAATCACTTTCCAGAGCTGCCCACTGCTCACGTAGCGTCATGGGTTAGCTTAAATGTACAAGAAAGCATGCACCTTCTGAATATTTTCAGGTGTGGCCCAGTGTGACAGCAATTCTTAAGTGCTTCTGCACCCTGTAAAACTGCCCCGGAGCTCTTCACAGTACCCAGCCAAGAGGCAGCTGCCATACTGCTCAGCAGAGCATCTGCCTGCAGGGGCACCAGCTCCCTACACCCTAGCTTTCAGCTTGGACATCTGCTTACCTTGACCAAGTTGACTCCTCTTCTCCTTGCTCCCGTAAGGAGTACGAAATTGCTTGTGCAAATTTCTAGTAAAACCTAAACTAAGACGCTTTCATCCTTTAATGTTACTGGGCGGGAGCTTGTGTCTATTCATTCGCAGTAGGTGAGTTTGCTAGTAGACTTGTCTCTGTGTTGAGACATGTACCTGGGGTTTCTCCCAGAAAAAAAGTGGTTTATTTTATTCTCCATGCAGGCGGAAACTACTCGGAACCTTCCTCTGTGCAGGAGCCAGGAGTGGTACCTGGCTTCGGAGCGGGCGTTCCCAAAGGCTGACGGTGGATTTCGAAGGCTCATTCTTCTTGGCACTCAGCGGTGCTTCTTCATTTGCAGTTCTTGCTGAGTCTCCACAGGCTCAAGGGAATGATTAGGGACATGAGGAAAGAGCGTGAGTGGTGGCTTCCTTCTGAGGCCTTGAGAGCCACATTACTTGTGTAGATTAAGATGGGAGAGGGGTGCGAGTGTCGGTGCTGTGCACGCTGTTGCCGCGTCCCTTGTCTATTCTGGAGCTGTGCGTCCTGGGAAGCCCTGTCACTGCAGCTCTAGTCCTTTTCCTGTTAGGGCAGGGTGACAGTGGCGGCAGGCTCTGGTGCTTTTTATAAACAAGACTGTTTGGACTCGTTAAGTATTTTAGGACAGTGCTTAAATTTGTGAGGGGCAGGGCGTGGAGGGAGTCATCCCTTCTAAGCATGGAAGGAAAGGAAGCCTTTTTGGTTTGGCAGCTGACGGTGCTTGTCCCCAGCTAAGTCTCCGTGTCCCAGGCTCACTGCTGGGTATTAGCCTCTCCTTTAATAATCAGGTCATGAGCAAAGCCCTGTGTAGTGCGGTGTTCTGGATGAGGCCCGCTCTTCTCCTTGCCCCTGGCCAGCAGCCAGAGAGGCGGCTTCATCTGTGACCCAAGAATCTGGATGACCCTAGACAGTTCACGCAGCGCTCACTTGTCCTGGCTGGGTTCCTGCCAGCTGGGTTCCGTGCTGGTCTGCATGGGGCAGCAGTCAGGCTTTGCCTCCTGGAAGCCCCTCTGCAAACAGCAGGTTACTGCCTCGTTCTGCCCTCCTGCCGTCCCATGCAGAGCGTCCTGCACCAGAAAGCTGCGGGCTGCAGGTCGTCCTGGCGCAGTGATGGGAGGCGCGCGAGGTGTCCGGCTTAGGAGCCACACCCTTGCAGGGTGTAGGAGAGTACAGCAGGTCTCATCCCTGAAGCCACAGGTCTTGTGTAGGGTGTCTTCGCAAATAGTAGGTTTGTGGGGCTGGGGAGATAGCTCGGCAGTGGTGCAAGGACCGAGTTTGATCCCCAGTACTGCATACCGTGCTGCGGAGCAAGACCCTGTACCAAATAAAGATTTAAAAGGCCAGTAGGTTTGTACTGCTGGCATTGTTTTTGCTTGCTCTTGGAATCTAGATTTATAAGCAGATCACTTCCCTCTCAGTGGTATCTTTAAGAAACTATATTTCAGTCTCAGAAATCCAAATTTAAAAATGAGGATCTTGGGTTTTGATTATACACAAGGAAGGTTCTTAACTGGCCTTCTTACCTTTTGGTTGTAAGCAGCACACTCGCTTAGTTGAGACAGACGTGTACAGTGAGACAGACGCTGAGCGCAGCTAGTACACAGCGGGGCTGAACCTACTTCCTCTGCCTCCTGGGCCACTTGTTTTCTTGGGTGACTGCCCTGTACCCTCCTTTTCCGCTAAGTGGCTTATTCCTTTTCCCAGCTGTAGCTTTTGCTGCCTTGTAACATCAGCTTGCAAATAACCAGTCACCCATCGGGCACCCTTTCCACAGCTTTTGAAGTAGAGCATGTCTTCATGCTTCTGGGAGTAGTTCTTGAGGGAGCGCACAGCCCAGCACAACCTCGGTGCGGCCTGGTGCACCCAGGCATGGAGCATGGCTGTCCCAGAAGGCGGGCAACACTGTCACGGTAGGGCTCAGACACTAGTGCGGAGCCGGAGGCCACGCCGTACCGCGCAGGAATCCTCCCCAGGCTGGGCTCGGTGTACGTGTCCCTGGGGAAATGGCACAGACGGGGAGCACAGAGCAGAGTTGGTGAGGGTGACCATCAGCGGGCGCTAGGTTGTGCTGTGTTCCCCTGCTTGCTCTGAGGATAGCGCCTAGAAACTTCCAGGTCGGGGTTCCCCTGTGGCAGTTAGGGCAAGATGGAGGGACGGAGACTCCCTTTTAAAGCAAGTCATGCGTGGTACTGGCAGTGCCAAATCATGAGTGACGTGCAGTGATGTGCCTGGAACCAGAAGCTGCATCCTGGCACACAAAGCACACCCCAGTCACGCCACTTCTTAGTCCTCTTCTGGGGAGGCTGCACTCTGAGGTGTTTGGGAGAACTTTAAAAGCAAGAGAACAGGGGAGGAGATGACAGTCCAGAGGTGAACGTTTTGGAAAGTGAGGGAGAGAAAGCAAATCCCGAGGGGCCGCAGAGGGTAGGCCCCCGATCTTGCACAGCTGAACCCGAAAACAGGCTCCGGAATGGAGCCACCATCGCTGCGCTCTGGGGGCCCCGGACCCTGCTGAGCGGGAGACTTCTGGCCCCGGAGGGGGAGCCTGGAGTTCAGTGTGGAGATGCCTCAGCTCCTGGTGTCTGCGGTCCGTGTCTCACTGAGGGGAAATTCTTGTATTCAGGTAGATATTGAAGGAGAAAACTAGCTACGAATGGGTAAAAGTCTCCCATAAAGCGTGTGGAGCTCATCTGATTCCTGACCCACAGTGAATGTTAACTTCTTTTCTCTGGGAGCCAGTATCCCCGATGGAAGAATGTGAGCAAAATAATACTTAACACCTCTGCAGGCCACCTAGCGTCATGCAGGTTTTGTTGAGAGGGCACTACTGTCAAGAGGGACTTGAGATGTCTAAGCGAGAAAAAAGAAACAACGGTAAAACTTCTCCGAGTTCCTCTTAGGTTAAAAGTGCAAACTGGGACTTTTAAGTATTTCCAGGCCTGTTTTCATAGTAGGAAAACCTTTTGGTGCTAAGTGAACTTGCTTTTTTCTTCTCTGGTTCTGGAGACAGAACCCAGGGCCCTCGCTGAGCTATGTCCTAGTCCTTTTATTAAATTTCGAGACAGGTAAGTCTGTGTGCAGCCCAGGCTGGCTCCGCCTCGGTCTCCAGAGCACAGCTGTGGACCAGCACACCGAGGCCACAGCCCAGCACGTGACAGTAATAACCAAATGCGGCTTCAGGTGTAGTCAAGGGCCTTCCTCTTTAAAAATGAGCAGTTCCCAATTCAGGCAAAATAAGATCAACCTGGAGACAGGGCTTAATCTTTCCCCCGAGTTTGAACAAGAAACAAAAATGCGGGAGGATGCTGCTGGAAGCCAGTAGCACCGACTAGCGAGCCCACCTCACTGCTAGGCCTTGCGGAGCTAAATGTTTACACTGAGTGCCTGAGAAAATTAGCCAGCTGCTGGCAAGCGCACCGCCACAGCAGCGCCCACAGACCTGGAGTAGATCCGGGTACTGCTCTCCTCTAAGCGTCAGTAGGCAGAGCAAGGTGCGCTGCTTGCTGAAGATTGCATTAATTAAGGCCAAGTAAAAAAGTACTGAATAGAATTTGTTAAATGTTAAAACATTTTTTGTGGGTAGAAATTTTGAACAAAAATTTCACTAAAAGCTCATTCTACATCAAAATCTCTAGACACTAATAAGCCAAAATATATGAGAAAGGACAGCCATGCTGGGTGGTACAAGCAATTCAGGCACACGGGAGGCTGAGGCAGGAGGCTTGCCTGGCCTACAGAGAAGTTCAGACTACACAGTGAAACGCTATCTCAGACAAAAGGGGGCAGGGGGTGGCTCACAGATCTGATTACTGTACACAACAGTCCTCTGCTGTGTCCACACTGTGAGCGGTCTTAGCTGGGCAGAGGACTGTGTTTATGTACACAGGGGACTTAATTTCAGGTGCCCTCTTAAAGAGTTTGAGGCTAGCAGAGCTCTTAACTGGTATTAAGCAGATAATGCCTCGTCTGAGTAGCAAACAGAAGGGTGAGAGCAAACTCAGCATGCTCCTGTGTTATTCCAAGAGGCAGAACTAACTAGAAAGTCACGAAGGAGGACATTTCCCCCTTATTTAAAACCTTCTAAACACAAGCTACCAGGGCAACGCTGTTTGAAGCCTTAATATATACAGTGCTTACCTAAAGTCCTATTCCATATAGGATAGTATCTTGATAATCTTTTAAAAGCCAACTCTTTAGAGGTATGATTGTATTTATAAAAGTGCTTGGGCGGCATGCTAAATAGCTTTTTGTTATTCTTTCCTATTAGCTTTACCTTCAAGCCAGGATGAAGGGAGACTGGGCAAGACTCTTACGCCCTACGCTGCAGTTTGGCCTTATTGCTGTATCCATTTATGTGGGCCTTTCTCGCGTTTCTGACTACAAACACCACTGGAGTGATGTGCTGACTGGACTTATTCAAGGAGCTGTCGCTGCAGTACTGGTTGTAAGTGTACAGGGCAGCAGCCCACACTGTGAGGCTATTAAATATCTGGCTAAGTGAAGGGAGAAAAACCCCTCAAGTGAGGTGTGTGGCCCACGGCTCAATGCCGGAGACAGGAAAATCACTGTTAGCTCGAGGCCAGCCTGGGCTCCACAGTGAGTTCAAGGCCAGCCTGAACCACGTAGTATACTCTGTCTCAAAAAAAAAAAAGAGGAAAAACAATCTCTAGTGAGCCGACTATGAAGAAGTAGAAAACGACTCCATATTTCCTATTAAGAATGCTAATGTTTAAGTAATTTTAAGATAGGTAAAAATTAGGTTGCTCTTTGCATAAGTTATAAAGTTTAGTATTTTTACTACAAAAGCCTCTGACTACGAACAGTATTTTTTGGAATGAATTGAAAAGAAAAAGAATTCCCATGAAGAGTAAACTCATTAAGGGCTGGCAGCATGAAGCTACTGGTAAAACGAACACAGCAGCTCTATTGGTACTGATCTCCTTTGGAGATACAATCAGCCATCCGTGGTGCTGACATCGTTAGGGTACACCACGCAGTGGCATATTTATCAATACAGCACTTCCTGTGTACCTGTCTTGGCAGAGTTCTTCTTGGACCTTTGCATGTAGTTTTCAAACTCAATGAGTTGTACTGTTAAATATTTTGCCCTGTTGTAAATATAATTTGTTGTATATAGGTTGCATACGTGTCAGACTTTTTCAAGGAGAAAAACTCTTTTAAAGAAAGAAAGGAGGAGGACTCTCATACCACTCTGCACGAAACCCCAACAGCAGGCAATCACTACCGGAGCAATCACCAGCCCTAGAGGGTGGCACATGACACTGGCCTGCTTTTTAAAGGAAAACTTCAACTGGAAGGCGAGAGGATGGATCTTTCTGCCTGTGTACAGGCCTTCACAGACTGCCACCGCTGCTACTATACCTCGTGGATGCCCCCTTCATCTGTGTAAATAGTTCCAGTCAACACAATGTTATCTAATAGCTGAAGTTCTTTCAAGAAATTTCAAGCTTTCCACTAAAACAATGCTCCACCTGTACATTTTTATTAAAAAATGTAATGCTTATGTACATATGTGTATGTAATATGCTTTCATAGAATGATTTAAATATACATATTAAAACGTTTGTGGACAACTGTCTTGAGATCAGAGAACCGCACGAACATTCAGAAGCACTTGCAGTCAAATGTGAGCAGATGGTGAATAATTTTAAAGTCTCACATTTATAAGTAGAGGCTGGCAGCAAACACAATATCTCTCTTGATTTTGGTGATTCCTAAGAGAAAACGAAATAAGAGTTCAATTTTTAACACTACAAAGCATGAAACATCTTTTTGCTAAGATTTTAAAGACGACAGCAATTAGTCTGATTAAATTGGTGAGAGAACAATCTGGAAAATAAGAAATCTTAGAAGTTTTTAAATAAGATTCCTGTTCTTTGACTGTGAAGTTGTAGACTGGGGAGTTGTGTTATCTGAGAAGACATTCTGCAAAGGGCAGGCTGGCCAATCCAAAGGGACCGATCCAAAAGCATGGATTTCCACCCAGCATTAGAAGACTGTATTGCGGTTACATGAAATTCTTAGTGGACCAAGGCAGGAGAAATAGCCTCTTTGAACTATTCAGAAACACAAGCTAGTGTGACACCTAAGTTGGGGGCAGAAATCACTGGCCTGGCCTTGGACCAACGAAGTGGGCTGCCATTCTTTAATTCTTTATCTCTGTCTTGGCCTGGCCAAGATGATTCATGGAGACAACTAAACTATCGACAAGCATGCTGTGTCCTTTGGCTCCGTTATTGCCATCTTGCATTGGTCTCCCTGCTTCCACTTCGCTACTCTGCAGGCCTGTCTTCCACGCAACAGCAACACTACATCACTTCTGGCTCCAAACCTTCAGTCCCTGCAGAGTAAAGGCTGGGGCAAGGCCATCACTTCTTCTCTCCTCCAGAGTTCCTCTTTCTCCTCCTGTCTGCTCACTCCGTGCTGACCACACAGCCTCTTGCTGCTCAACATATGAAGCACGTCTAAAGGGCCTCACATGTTACCTTATGCTGGGCGCCCCTGGGGCACTGCGTCTACCCCTAATTCTGTCTTCCTGACTCCTCGCTCACCCTGGTTGTAGGCTCAGAACCACGTAAATTTTAATTGTTGATTGTTTATTGTCTATTCCGTCCTAGAACATAAGCAGCATGAAGACAGGGATTTTTTGTTTACTGCTGCATTCCCTAGTATAACGATGGCAAACCTTTCAGAGCTGTCAAGGGTAATGAACAGCAGGCTGTGGCACGAGTGCCAGAGGTTTGCGGCCACTGCCTTTGTGCTTAAACATCACCTGGTAGAAGGCATAATATATCCCCACAACTTTTTCCCAGTAGACCCTTTAAAATTTTATACAACTACTACTAGGAACTACTCTAGTGCCCTAGGTTGTGTCAGTGGCTCAAGTCTCAAAAGAGTTTCCTAAATTATTAGAAAAAGCTTATGAAGGATACCTTCAGCAAATTTATTTTCCAGTTCAGTGTTTCCAATGGCTTTTGCAGCCTGACACATCTGTCGAAGCAATTCTTCCAGGCGCCTCATACAACGAATTATGCTGCCTAGAGAAAAAAGGAGCAAATCACTTGTAAAACTGATACAAACAGAAAAAGTATCAATTTTTGTTGAGAGGCAATGCAGGAAAACATGGGATGCTTAAGTAATAATACTCTGAAGGACTTTCCGTGAAGTAAATAAACCAGCAAACCTGACTAGCTGCCTGCTAGGTGTTAGGAAGTCTGCGAGGAAGAAAGGTTTGATTCCAAGCTTTGATGACAAATACAGATTTACAATAACATGCTGACACGCACTATTTGTGGCAGGCAGATAGACTGCCTTGAGAGGAGGAAGCAATTTTGGGGAAGGCTGGCAAACACAATGTGTGGGTCTGTAAGGATAAGGAAGGTGGTGACAAGTCCATGAAGGCCAGGAGGGCTGACAACAGGCAGCTGTTACGGGCCCTGGGCATGGCTCACTTGGCACTGCACATCAAGCCTGCCTTTCACTCTTGACCTCCTTCACACTGCGTCTTTAAGGAGCTACCACAGGGGAGTACCTCTCAGGCCCTCGTGCAGATCCTGACTGTGGCAGCAGTGTCCGTATCACAAGGCATGCTGTAAAGTTTCACTCGTTAAATCTGTGCAAGGAGGGCCCTAGTATCCCTTCTCAGAGTGCTAGCTACTTCAATTTCAGTGTTTCGGAACTCTGCATTTATTGTATCAACTACATTAGGAGTATCAGTTTGCAAAACAGTGCAATAGGAACACTGAGCCCTTTACCTCTACACTGCTGGAATAATTAAGTTCTTACTACAATGCACTGCAATACCCTCTGCATTATATTCCAAGGGAAGAAAATAGTTGGGGGAGCCACCTCAAAGCAGAATCAAAATGCAAGACAGGTAGTGTTTCAGTTTTTTTAAACATTCATACCTCTTAATTCTACTTTAAAAAAACCATGATACATGTAAAATTCTGAAGTGCCTTATGGTCTGTCATAGCAAAAATTCAAAGGGTTCCCACATGTCCAACGACAGGAGACTACACAATCATGCAGCTATTAAAATGATACTGACACACTGATCTATGTAACCGATGAGTAAAACTTGCCTGGGACCATTCATCTGGGCCTAGGATAGGTCATAAGCTCAGGGGCTGCACTCCACTGCTCTGCTGCCAGTTGAAAAGGGTGCGATGATAGACTATTTTATGCTAAAGCAGCAGCAGAAAGGGGTATGATTCAAACAATGAAAACAGGAAGCATGGCCCGGGGATTCAGAGACATGAAGGATGGGAAGGATGCAAGCCCGTGAACAGTTGTAAGAGAGGCTCTGGCTTCTATCTCCGTGTAACAAGGATGATCACGGGGGAGCTGCAGGGACAGCTTGCGAGCTGCCAGGCTCAGGCACTGCCTGCCTCCCAGGAGGCAATCTCCCAAGGAGTCGTTGGACCCGGAAGTGCATTCCGGGTGTGCCTTCTACCATGTGAGGGACCATACTCATGATACCAACAAACTATGGGAAAGATGACATGAAGTAACAGGCACAGAGTGCCTGGCAGGTAGCGCCCCGTGCTGATAACTTTCCGTTACTATACTGAGAAGTCTGACATCATTCTGAGATTAGATACTAGGGCTCTTGTGATACCATGACATACAACTTGATTTCCACCAGAAAGAACACTTGTGCGTGAGTGCAGAGGTAACGCTAGTGAGTTATTAGTGCTCCAGGCTGGTGAGGCCTGAGGCAGAAGGAAGAGCAAGTTACTGCCCAGTTCTCCTTCCACGGGAGAGAAGGGGGAAGCGTGTGAGGACCTGGCAGTGTTCTCCAGGCAGTGGCAGTATCCTCTGCAATGCAGAAAGCCTCCAAAAGCCGATGCCCACAGCCTGCTTTCCTAAGGCATCTGATATACTAACCCTAATAAACTATTTTGAGCTCTTGAAAATTAGCAGAACAGATTAAAAAGAAAAAACAAAAAAACCCAACCCTGTTTCTTCGACTAGTAAACTCTAACATGCAAAAAGCGACTCCACAGTGTTCAAGCAGCAGCCCTGACAGTATCACTACCCACTCCCAACACTGCGTACCAGCACTTTATAGGTGTGAAGTCAGTCAGTGCCTTCCAAGCTCGGCTGGAGTTTCAGACCTGTGACTAGATGACTCCTGACCACTCTACCCCCAAAATGGTGGTAGAAAGTGTATTGGCTACCCTTAGAGCAATGGGTCTCTTCTCAGCCATGGGCTAAGAACCTTGGAGAAGTGGGTGAAACATTTTTTTCTTCTTGTGAACTCAGCTGAGGAAGTTAACTGTAGAATACACAGCTAAGGATCAGTGAATACTGAAGTCAATGGCCTTGGGGGGGAAGTGAACGAAAACAGGTCATGAGGCCACCTGAAGAACAGCTAGCGGCCTGTGGAAGAGACAGAGACAGCCTGAGGGGCCGGGGAGACAGCTCAACGGTCTAAAGCCGTGCTGCACACACACAAAAGAAACAAACAGCCTGAGGGTAGGAAAGAATGAGACACAGGGAGAAATGGGACTAAAAGCAAGACATGGAGGCAAACACAGGAACCTAGTTTCACAAGTAAGGCTAAAAGATTAGTCTACTTCCCAGGAACTGGGAATAGCCAGGATGAATCAGAGGGCAGCAGCCTGTAGAAATTCACAGCTTGACACCTGGCGGCAACTCTATGTCTTCCTCTGGATGGGATATGATTTCTGCTGCTCCATGTCCCGCCCACTGGGTGCCTTGCACAGGATGGCAGCTGGGGAACCTCTGCTCTTCTAGCTGCTTGAGAATGTTCTATACAGCTCATGCGGGCATCAGTCAGAGGCTCTGGTGGGTTTGCTTCACTGAGGAAACGGTTCTGGATGGGCCAAGCGTGATCTCTGCTATTAGGATAACTATCGTGGACCCTCGGTGATACATACAGAGTTCAATCATTAGAACAGGGCTCAGATTTCTGCTGTTTCACTTTTAGATGAAAACTTTAAAAACTACAGAAAATGCTATTCTATCCACTAATTCTTTTGCCACTGATTACCCAGGTACAGCACAGGGACTTCAAAGGTATTTTCAAAAAGTAAACCGATTACTTTCCCCCCACATCTCCTCTATTAATTAACCTGAGTTACTCATTCTTAAAACTGTGACAGTGTTCCTGACTTTATAGTTAATATGATGTGCAACAATGTACACAAGGTCTTAAGTGTAACACCAAGAAGCCAGCGAATGTTGGCTAAGCTTGTGCTTCTGTTCTCAATGCTGAGAACACGGTGTTCCTATACTGTGCTGTAATGAAAGGAAACCCAGAAGCTTCTGGATATCTAGACAGAGGGCAGGAGGCTGGCTGGAGGCCATTAATACCATATATTGTATACAACCAGAAATTAAATGTTTTCATAAACAATGCTATTTTAAAAGGAAAGTAGTACCTGAAACTAAAATATTCAGCACTTTTAAAAAAGGAACAGAATTCACAGGTAACTCAGGACTGAAATGAAATCCTTTACAAAACTTCTGGGGTGCAGAAACAGCTCAGTGGTCTGAGCGCCAGCCCAGCAAGCCCAAGGACTGGGTTTGATCCCCAGCACTGTGTGCTGTGCCAGCCCTGCTCTGAGCTGCGCAGAGACCCTGTACCAAATACATAAAAACAAACGAACACCTTCTGCTATGCAGGGTATCAGAACAGGCAGGCAGGCTCTCCTACACTGTTCTGACTGACTTCACAGACATACCAGGAAACCCAACTGGACACTCTAATACTTCTCTACATTACAGTAACTAATTTTAACCAGAATCTGACATTGTCAACAGAAGGCACGCCACATGAAATAGGCTATTAAGATAAAGTATAAAATTAAAACAAGTAGGGCCAGGGAGATAGCTCAGTAGAGCAAATGCTTGCCTGCCAAGCACAGGGTCCTGAGTTTAATCCCTGGTGCCACAAAAATAAAATAAAATAAAAAATAAAAAAAATTTAAACAAGTAAATTCACACCCTGGCTAGAAATCACCCTCATGTCATACTCTGTAAATAGTTCAACTTCTGGAAAATTTAGCTTGTACAGTTTTAGATAACAAGCAAACAGGAAAATGAGGCCACCAGGTACAGGATTACACAGACACTGCATCTGGTGGTTATCCCAAGTCTCATCAATCAATCATGGCGTGAGCACACTGCCTACGGCCCAGCGGTTTCTTCCCCACAGGCATTAATGAAGGCTGTGGTTAGTGAAGGAGTGAATTTCCTAGCATTTTTCCCACCAACTAAGCTCTGTGTAGGCCAAGGCTTTCTTCCCTCCCAGCTCCGGAAGGCATTTTGCCTCATCAATTACACCAGTTGGACTAGACATGAGACAAAAGCTCCAAACCCTAACTAAATCCCAGGCAATCTGAAGCTGAGGACAAACCAAAACATACGGATCTCCTGGTTTGCTACAATCTTCTGATTATACCACAGAGCGAACAAAATTTTTTCTAGACCTCATATTTTGGTGTACAATGTAAAATTCACCATTTTAACCATGGTGAGTGTGCACTTTAGGGTCATCACTTTTTTTTTTTTTTTACAGTTAGGATTACATTTCCATTCTGGAAGAACTTGTACTATTATGTATCATGATGTTTACCTGTTTAAGTGTTAAATTTTTAATATGTTCAGTTATGATCACTAATTTTAGAACACACTGCCTTTAAAGAAACCCTGTTCCCTTTAAGAAGTAACACTCGAATCTCTTCTTCCAACAGTCCACGCCAAACAGTATTTTGCTGTCTCTAGATCTGCCTTTTCCATACAATGCATGTGAATGAAATCATACAGAATATAGGCTTTATGTCTGCTTTCTTAAATTAGCTTCTTGATGTGTTTAACATTCACTGAGAATGTACTATGAGCTGGTATTTAATAGCCAAAAGATATACCATATTTTATTCTACTGACTGATAGTTGGGGCTACTTGATTCTATTTAAGGGCATTTTTATAAATATTAGGCTTACCTAGCTCATGAACAAAACGGCATCATTCTTATTAAAACTAAAAAGCACTAAAGTTTCCCAGCTGGTATTTCTGCTTCTAGCTTTGTGGCAACCCAACGTGGAGACCGACAATTCATGCCCCAACGTAATGTTCCGGCCCCATCTGGCTGGGGTTACGATCACAATGCTCCCTGCTGAAGCTGCTCCCCACAGGGTCCCCGCTTAGGCCGGCCTCTTCTCGAGAAGCTTGCGTGCGCCGCACCCAGCGTGGTGCCTGGTTCTCACAAGGACCTTGTAGTTACCCATCACGACCAAGAGGCACTAAAAACGAAGCCACTTAGCGTTTATGTTATAACAACATTCAAACACAATACATTTGAACAAAATAGTACTCTATTATTATTGGAAATACTTCAGAAACCCTCTGTAAAGTCCTTTGTAACACTGGTGTTCTGCCTGAAGGGTCATCCTGCTCTGCGAAAGGCACTGGAGAGAACACATGGTGGGGACAGGTGGGCAACACACTTCACAGTATTTTTAAAAACCTGCAGGCAGAAGCAGGGTAAAGAGCTGCAAAAGAGAACTGTCACAGAGGTTCTCCTGACGACAGGGGCTCAGTGGGAGGCAACTCCGTCCTGTGTTCGTATCGGGATGAACACTTAAGCATATGCAGAAGTGTACAGTAACGGCTCATGCTTAGTTCATAATCTACTTACCTCAGCTGGTAGAATGAAACCCTAAGCAATCAGCCCATATAAATATTTTGTTTAAATTCAAAATTTATTTGTTTTGATACAAGAAACAACTATATTCTATCCTGCTTTTCAGGTTATAATAGTTACTTTTATAAAGTTTTCAAAATTCTCCAACCAAGGCTAGCCAAATAGCTCAGCAGATTAAAGCACCTGCAAGCAGGCACAGGGGCCAGGGGCCAGGGGTTAGGGGGTTCAATCCCCGGGGCCTACAGTGCTGGCCCTGCCCCCAGGGTGTGCGGAGCCGGCAACTGAGACTGAGCCTGGTGGCGCGCACCTGTAATCCCAGCACTTGGTTTTTTTTTTTTTTTTTTGTGGAGCCAGGGATTGAACAATCCCAGTACTTGGGAGGCTATAAACGTGAGAACTTGATCTAACAGTGAGACCCTGAATGCCCTGTAGACCCTTTCCTAAAATAAAGAAAACAAACAAAAATTCTCCAACTAAGGGCTAGGGAGATAGCGCAGCAGCCTAAGTGCCTGCCTAACAAGCTCAAGGTCCCAAGTTTGCCTCCCCTACTCCCTCCGCAGAAACACCTCCAACTAAATCCTATTAATGATTCTCCTCCATTAGACATTCCCCAAACAAAATTAATTATAAGAAGTAAAATAAATAGTATTTTAAAAAAAATCACATCCAGACTTTAACCACAACAGTGGTAACTCGCCCCTATTAAATATGCTGGACAAGTGTGTAAGATTACTTTTGAGGTGTAAGGTGTGAAATGATCTGGCACCTTCTAAAATTAAATTCAGTACCTTACTTGGAACAAGTATGGTTTGAGCATTACACATTACAAATTTCCAATGTAATATAATTTTCTTCCTATAAAAACACAGAGACACTATTCTCTGGGCTAGAGCTTTACTTTTTCCAAGCACATTAAGCATGAGCAATAACAAAATGAGGAAACCAAGGCCATTCTTAATTGGAAAAACTAGATAACACGGTAAAAATAAAAACAGGACCAGTCTGATGGGAAAATGAAAAGCTATCCTATTCTCAGGGGTTTGTTCTATTTTTAAGAGCTAATACATTGTATGTCTTAATTTTAGAAGAAATGGCTTAGCTAATCTGATGGTACCCTGACCAGAAAAACTTGAAAACTACCATCAGACCAATTTTCAAGCTGTGAAACTGAATTTCTCAAATTCCCGAATGCTTCAAGCAATCTGCAATATAGAACTAACCCCAGAGGGCCGGGGCTGTAGCTCGGGCACAGCGCCTGCGCGGCAAGCACGAGGCCCTCAGTTGGAGTCCCAGTACCACCACACAAAAAAAGACACAACCCCGAAAAATTCAAAGGAGACAGAATAGACTAGGAAAGTTAGTTCCAAACATGAGTAGGCTGTACAAAAGGTACCTCACAGTGCTACCTGGTATTTTGGCAGAACTACAAACTGTCTCCAGCTTAAGACTAAATCTTCCACATATGACATCTTTTTCATGTAAATAAAAAGACAGAGACCTAAAAATCCAAACAAAATTTTATAGGAAACTTTAAATTTCTATGAAATCTAGGCTCATGTAAATGCCTAATTTAGAAAACATAATCACCATCACAACATCTACATAAGCCAGTTTTCCCAACAATTACAACATGATCTTTAAATACTGTTTTTTACTTCTCATAATTCCTTTGTAATTATTCTTTATATATTCTCTACATTTTTCACTTAAAATTCCCTTGAGTTGGGTAGTTATTCTTCAGTTTCTTAAAATTTTGCTGATTACATTTAATCTGCTGTATGCTGTAGTAAAAGCCCGAGTGAAGCTAAGTTATTAGATACGGAATGACTAATCACTTTCTACTCTTAATTTTAGTGAGGGGGGAACTATCTGCTCAGGCCCCCCTCCTGTCCCTCTCTTGGAAAGGAGCTTTCTTTCTCTCAGTAAATATATTCTGCTCATTAAAAAAAAAAAAAAAAAAATTAGTGAAAATTAGAGCAAATCATTGAGTTTCAGCCAAGAGGACAGAAACAAAGAGCAGCACATTCACAAAGACACGCCTTTCTAGGCTTCTCTGTTCACCTACGATTGCAGTCTCTGTTACAGAATTACAACCTGTTCAAACATTTTCCTAAATTCGTAGAATTTATAACGACAAGACTGCTTATTAGGTGGTACAAAAGATCTATACAGAATAGGCAAAAAATCTCATTTTATTACCAAAAATGTTTAAGCCAAGTTTTGTACTTTCAAAGCCAGAGAAAGAAGTATGCTCTGCAGAGCAAGTCTGGGCCAAGGAAAAGGAAAAAGCACAGCCTACAGGACGACAGCGGCCTGCTGCGAGGACACAGCAGCCACTGAAACTGGGAAATCCTGTTCAGTTAAAACAATGTATATATATTCTCATACCAGAATGAAATCTGTATGTATGAAATTTCACCATACCTTCAAAGACATCGGTCATTCTGCAGATGTGGGCGAAGGTGGCCCCCGTTGCCCAGGTGTATACCACGTCCATCAAGTGAGGCTTGAAGGAGCTGAGGTAAGTTTCCTCATCAATTTCCAATTTCGCTTCTGCTGACACTTTTGCAATTCTTTTAGCACATTCCTTTAAAGATAAGAGACAAAGTTAGGCTGGGGAGAGCTTAGAGGCATAAGCGCACTCAGGGCAAGTGCAAGGTCCTGAGTTCGATCCCTGGCACCAAAAAAAGCCACAGTTAAGATGCCATATTTACGATCTCCCACAAAACTTTTTTCTTTAGGTTTCCAAAATCAGTATTTTATAACATTCCTTCCTTCTTGGTTTTTTTTTTTTTTTTTTTTTGGGGCAGAACCAGGGATTGAACTCAGGCCCTTGCACTTGACAGGGAAGCACTTATTCCACTGAGCCATCTCCCGGCCCCATAACATTCCTTCTTAATCTTATATGGATCTTTCCCTTGTAAGTACCTGCTATACTAAGTGATTAAACAGTGTTTCTCATGCTGAAGGCCTGAGGAATTCTATCAAGAGTATGATTTCTACAAACATGCCAGAAATCTTCATGAAAATTACTCAAGAGCAGCACTGAACTAGTGTTTCATTAACACAGACAATAAGACAGACTCAGAAAAATATACATGCATGGCAAAGTACTCAGCTGATAAATATTTTGTTCCCCAACACTTAAAAATATGCTCTTATGCCTCATATTTTAACAATGCCTTAACCCATGTTTTCTTGTTTCTTGCTTTCTTTATTTTTTGGTATTTTTTTTTAAGGAAGGGCCTTCAGGGTGTTCAGAAGCTCATTACTAGATTGGACTCACAGTGATCCTCCTGTTTACAGCCTCTTAAGTGCTGGGAATACAGGCATGGGCCACCACACCCAGTTTTGATCAGCGTCTCATCGCACCCCAGGGACAGGGCCAGCATTGCAGGTCCAGGGATTGAACTCCGGGCCCCTGCATCTAAGCATACGCTTTAATCCACTGAGCTATTTGGCCGGCCCTCTTGTTTCTCTAATACTGAAAAATATAAAATCAATTTATCCTAGAAAATAATAAAAGAAATTATTTCTATAAGATTCTGTGTTTTGAGGGCCAGGGAGATGGCTCAGTAGAATAAGCGCTTGCCTGGCAAACACAGGGTTTGAGTTCAATCCCTGGCTCCGAAGGAAAAAAAAAACAAAAACCTGAAAAAAAAAATTCTGTGTTTTGAGGACCTAGAGGTTTCTCAAGATAAAACATTTTAAAATTTCATTATAAACAAGAATGGGAAAATGTGCGAAATAATTCAAATCTTGGACTACAGTGTACAGGCTACACGGACAATATACTGTTTGCATTATTTTCTCCCCTCAGTATTAAAAATGGTGCCACATGGAAAACTTGACTTAAATCTAGTATGTTTTCCTTTTTTTAAATTGACTCTGGGAAGCACTGAGCTCCATCCTCAGCCCTTTTTACTTTTTATTCTGAGCATCTTGGTAAGTTGTACCAATTGGTCTTAAATTTCTTGTGATGTCAGCCTCTCCACCCAGAGTAGACAGGACTAGAAATCTGTCACTACACCTGACTCCTATCAGGCCACTTGGGGTGGGGCGGGGCCTTGCTACGCAGTTCAGGCTGGCCTTGAACATCCTACGTGACAACAGACTGTCTTCAGACTGGCGGCGATCCCATCTCAGCTCCTCAAGTGCTGGGATTACAGGTTTGTGCCACCATGCCTGGCTGGTATGCTGTCATTTTAATATTGAGAAGGAAGTGATGCAATCAATGAACTGCAGTATAGCCTCTGCACACGATTCATTTTCTAATTTGTACTCACAAAGACCCCATACGATTCTTTACAACGAGGGAGAATAATTACTAAAATGAAAATAAAAATATTAATAAAAAAGTATGACGAGTGACATCAAATGAAACATCTGTTCCAGCTGTCTGTGTTGAATGATAAAGTACTACAATTAGACTTCTCAGAATCATTTACTCTACAATGTACTATTACATAGCCTACCTGCATCTGACGAAGTGGTCCTGCCAACTGTTCTGTTAATTTGGGCATCTCACTAGACTATAAAAGAAAAGAAAAATTAGATATAAAAACATAATCTAAAGTACAGTATATATTGCCTGTTAAAATGAAACAAAGTTCTTAAAATACTCACTGATATCAAATTATAAGACTAGTTATTAGCATTTTGAGTATATAATCATCCTTAGTCAATATAAACAAAATCACTACTCCTCTTATTCTTTTCATTTTCTGCTATTACATTCCAGAGAACAGCAATGACACTGTTAAATTTAAAGGAATGCCAACAACCTATGTATTTTTTTTTCACTATAAATGGAACTGAGAGTAAACATTATGAACATGAACTTATAAATAACATAATTTGAAATAGTTGTAGCTTGTAGAAATCACGATCTATAGAAACCAAAATGAATAAAAAATATTAAAAATAATGCCCCATAAGTATTTTACCCAGATATTTCTAGTTCTTTAGCCAAGTATAAAGTACTTAGCATTTTAATCTGAATTTCAGTGTTAATATTGCTTTCACACTAATGAAGTTCACCAAATTCTCACACAGATGTGACAAATTTAAGGCAGTTTTAGAACCATCACTAAATAGCTAAATAAACTTGGAAAAGCTACTTGAACTCTGTGATTCTTGCACTGTGAAAAAGAGAAATAAAGCTAAATACACAAAACTGATAGGACGGCTATACAAAGATAAACTTACAAGAACAGTGGCTAGTGTGTATGTAACGGGTGGGATAGGATCTAAAGAATGCAGACAGATATGCAACCCACTATAATTAAGCTGCCACACATTAACCATCAATAACTACGCAGGACTTGGTTTGGATCTGAATTAAGTATACTGCATAATAAATCATTAACCAGGTTCTGTATTGTTTCTTTAAACCAAAGCTTACTGATGAGCAATGAAAAAGCAAAAGGACTCCACATCTAAGTTTAACAGCTAAAAATAAAGACTGCTAAACATCTCTGATGCTGTCTTCACTCACAGACAGCAGTCACTCTCAGTGTCCTTTCTCTGGCCACTATCAGTACAAGACCCTGGTCCCACTGTAAGGACAGCATGTGTGACATCGCCACTGTGCTCCCCTCTAGCTTTGGGCCCAGTTTTCTCTCGTCTCTCCTTTAAGCCTCAATTTGAAGTTTCCCTTATTGGTGAGGTTCCCCTTTCTCCCAAACCTTCACCACTACTTAACAGAATGTTTGTATTTTACTTTCCTATCTTCATTCCCTATTGAGGGTCCTGCTATGCGTCTAGGGTCATCAGGGCACTACACACGTTGGCTGCTTAAGAGGTACTTGCAGGTACTTGAGCTCTACATTAGATTTAGGTAAGTGTAGGGGCACAGTTTCAGAAACATTTTTAGTAGAAGTTATTACAGCCAACAGTTCAAGTATCTTACTACATTTATTCTTTCTGGCTAGAACTTCATGTGATTTTTAGTACATTTTCCACTTTACACTGAAAGAGAGAACCGTATGAATCAATGACACTGTGTGTAACAGTGTAGTTTCGCTGAACATAACTGTACATAGTGACATCTTGTTCCAAGATTTAAGAATTTTGCTCTGGATAAATCCAGCTCCTTTGAAGAGGTAACATACCTGGCCTCTCAGAAAACAATTATTTTAACACCACATCAAATCAAAACAACAAAATGCAATTAAGTTAGCCAGAAGACAAAATCTGAGATTAATAAAATATCACCGATTCCCTTACCTTTACATCTTAAAAATCTGTTCAAAGGAAACAATGTTTTTATCATCTGGTGCAGTGATGCACTAAAAGTCTGAATCAAGAACAACAGTCAGGGGCCGGGGAGATGGCTCAGTGGAATAAGCGCTTACCTGGCACACGCAAGGACCTGAGTTCAGGCCCCGGTCCCACCAAAAATAAATAAAAAATAAAATAAAAATACTGTTTTAAAAAAAAAAAGAACAACAGTCACACACACTTTGCACAGCAATGCACTCCTTTGCTGGGTGTGGTGGCACACACCTTAATGCCAACAGCTGGGAGGCTGAGACAGGAAGACTGCAATTCTGAGCCTATGCTGGGTAACTTAACCTAGTAAAACCCTGTCCTAAAATTTAAAAAGGTATGGACATGTAGGTCAGTGAAAAGCCCTGGGTTCAATACCAAGTATACCCCAAAGTTATAAATTCTTTCATATGCAAATTAATTTATTTCTTTCTTTCTTTCTTTCTTTCTTTCTTTCTTTCTTTCTTTCTTTCTTTCTTTCTTTTTGGTGCTATCGGGGATTGAACTCAGGACCTTTACTCCACTGAGCCATCTCCCCGGCCTCCGCAAATTTCTTTAGGAAATGTAGCAGACATGCTTACAGGCACACATTTTTTCAAGGTTATTGTTCTGTTATTACCACCATGATAGCTGTAATTCCACTCAAGGACCTAAGAGAAAAGAATCCACCTACTTCAACAAGTCACACACACTCGATTTAATTAATAAACAGGACACACATTTACAAGTGAAGACATCAAAAGCACAAGTGGGGAAATGATGTCTTCCACAGTTTACCTAAAAGTTAAACTAAGTATATGCAGTAAAAACACTCCTCAAAGATTTCAGATGATACTGAATGTAAGACCTCGCACATGCTAGGCACTTTACTACTAAACTTATCCCCAATTCATTTCTGAATTTCTTAAAAGCTCTGAAGCATGAACTCAAGAAATTCAACTTACCTTACTCTCGCTGCCTCATGTCTAGTGCATGACACCTACCACTTAGGCGCTCATAGGTGTTCCACAGTTATGCTAAGAAAAGGTCATGTCCAATTCAACCTCATTATCCCTCTTCATTTTTATTGGCTTTTCCTAATTTAATTTTCAGGTATCTTTTTTATTCTAAGACTGTCTTCCCAGGCTAGACTTGCAAATAATAAGCTTGGTTACAGAGCAAACCAAAAACTTGGAATCTGATTAATAATGACAACTGCCCACAAAAATATTATTTTATTTTATAACATACACATCTAATTATTCAATTTTCTAAGATATTTGTATTAAAGTTCTTTGATTCTTTACTAATATCCATAGCGTATAAACATAAAGCAATAGGCTTATAATTAAGATATCCATTATACTATTTAACAAACTATATGATGTGTGAATTAATAAATAAGATTTGCTACGACTATTAACTTACATTCTCTTGAAACACAAAGCAACTTAACAAGGCTGTTGCTTGCTCTGCAGAAAGATCATTGAAAAGGCCATTAAACATCATCTCGGTTAGCAGGAGCTCATCAGCGCTATCAGAAGAAAGCAAAATTTAAATGTCAGAATATGGAGAAGCATGTACATACACATATGCTTACAGGTAGTTTTTAATACAATATATGAGGTTACCAAGAAGAGTAATCAATAAAAAATGACAAAGACTCATGGAGGAAACGGCAGGCTTTTACGTCAGCCAGTATTAGTTATAGCCTGCGTCAACAAGGGTATTTCTTACGGGATCCCAAATACTGAAAATGCATTGTTCATGCAAGTATTTTTTAACTTTCAATATGCCATGAAAAAAGTCATCAACATTTATTTACAGGGCCTGAAGAATTCCTCATGGGAAAATCTGCTATCACATTAGTCTGGAGGCTGAGAACTGTCCTGGCTTACAGGCCCCTTTGGCCCACAGACGTCTGAATTTCTAACACTTGAGACAGATGAAGACTGAGTAACTCCACAAAGAGAGGGACCCAAACTGCTTACAGAACCTGTAACTCTACGGCCCTGTCCATTTGAGCAGCATGCTGACAGTAAAAATCCACAACTGTTTCAGAAACAGCTTTTATGGCTGCCACTGTAGAAACAAAACAAAATACATGTCCAGGGTGCATGTTTATGGCCACCACCTTGTGACTTTCAAGTTAAGGAGGACAAGACAAACTGTCTTGTAAAGAAGGGACCATTCCTCATGGTGGGACATAATGGGCAGATTTTCTCTGTGTGTTTTTTATTTATTTATTTATTTTCTACTTTTTTGCTCCGAATGCCTTCAGGGCAAGTTTGGCTGGCTTGAGTTGTGGGGATCGAACCACAGCAACCTGAGCCCGACTGCTTTGTTCATTGAAGCAGCCACTTAAAGAACTGAGCTAAGGGGCAGGCCCCCTCTGTGTGTTTTTTAGAGACAGGGTCTCCCTACACAGACCATGCTTGCTTGAATTCACAGTGATCCTCCTGCCTCAGCTTCTCAAGTGCTCAGATTACAGGTGTGTGCCATCAGGCCTGCCGGCTAACTGATGGCTTTTTAGGATGGTGCTCTGAACTGTATCTTCTGGAACTGACCACAGCATCATCTCCTATTCCAGCACTGGTGAATGAAGACTGCTGTTTGCAAATGCAACCATTTCAATTAAAATGATGCAATTTAAAATTTAGTTGCCTAGTTTAATCACATTTCATGCGCTACACAGCCACATGTAGCACAAGGCTGCTACACAGAACACTGCAGACGTAGAAAAGTAGCCATGCCACCATCAAGAAGTAGAGTCCTGAGCCAGGGATGTGGCTCAGTGGCTTAAGCGCCTGCCTGGCAAGTGTAAGGTCCCAAGTTCAGTTCCTGGCACTGCAAAAAAA